TGTACTTTGTTCCATAACTTATATTAACAGACATGCAACACGGCTGCCATGCGTGATCGCACCCTAGACACCACACGTTGCTCCTTCTGTAGCCAGGAGTAAAATACCCATGGATTTTTACCAAGCAAAGATTTCACAGAGGATATTACAAGAAGGACTTCACCATCTTATCAGCTGTTAGAACCTGAGACTCACAGTGTTAAGATGCCTAGTGGTACTAATCCTTTCTCTCTCCAGTCCAAAGGCATAACGTGGATTAGAAATGAGAAAAGATCGGCCTAGCCAGCTGCAAGTGTTGGTAACAAGGGACGCAAAGATTTTTCCAACAATGCACAACACTATTTGGAGTTACATACTATTGAGACATCTGACACATTACCTACAGGCCAGTCAGCACAACCATCTTGAGAACACAAAGACAGCACTTAATACTGTCAGAGAGCACAGTGTGTTTCTGCAGAAGCAAACTCCTAACTTTTTTTTTTCTTTTTATGATTCCTCTTACCATAATTAATTTGAAACATGCTGCAGCTATGAAACTGATGGAACTCAGAATTAAAAAATTTAAAGAAAATGATTTTTAGATCATCGTATATGCAACAATTCAAAAAAGATGTTACCTAAAGCTTCCAAAGACCATTTTGTGTCCCTCCAGTACTAAAACACAGCGAGCATCTGAGCAGATGACACGAAACAAAACAATGAATAAAGAAAATGACTTCCTACAACTTCTTTTACTATGTAAGGTCTGCCTATAGCAAGTGGAAGACAGCAGGATTTATGCAGTAGGAGGTTAACCATACATTCTAGCAGAGAAGTAAACATAACACTTACGCATCAGTAGCAACCAAAAATAATTATTTTCTTCTAGCTCTGAATTAATGTATTTTGTCACTCTGAGTGAACATAAAAGATAATTATGACTTGCTACTCAGGACTTTGAAACTACATTGTTTAACTTTGAAATATCAAAGGAATTTGACATTGCTCTGAACGTACATAAATTTTCAATATACAG